GGTAAGAGAAAGACCAACTACCCAATAGAAAAATGGGCTGCAGATATGAATAGGTAATTAGCGAAAAGGAAATATGAATGGCTCTTAAGTGTTTGAACCAACATTCAACCTTGCTGGTAAGAGAAATGCACATTAAACCTGCACATTCACTTTCAGACTAGCGAATATCACAGCTTGATACTGTGTTGGTAAGGCTGTGGGAAACAATACTTCAGATATTGCTATGCAATTGTAAAATGGCACAAACTGGAGGGCAATGTGACTGAATCTACCCAAATCACAAACACACCTATTCTTTGATCTAGTAATCCCACTTGTAGGAATTCATCTCACAGATAAGCTTGTGTATCAGATTATCCATTCCAGTATTATTTGTAATAGCAAAAGGATTGAAACCATTTATATGCCCAAGAGGGAACTGTATGAACAAACGGTAGCATTCAATGTAAGAATAAACGGTAGCTGCGCATCCACTAGAATGGCTAAAATTAAAAAGATTGACAACACTAAATGTTGGTGAGGTTGTAGAGGAACTGGAACTCTCATCCATTGCTTGTGGGAATGGAAATGGGACAGCCACTTTAGAAAATAGTTTCTTAAAAAATCAAATATTCCTTACCATATGACTGACCCTGCAATTCTACTGGGTATTTGCTGATGAGAAATGAAAACATATGTCCATACAAAGACTTCCATAGCAGTTTTGCAGCAGCTGTATTTAGAAGAGTCCCAAACTGGAAAAGAACCCAAATACCTAACTGGGGAACAGAGAAATCCCACTATCCTCATCCCAAGGAACATACTCAGAACTACAAATTACTGATACACGAAACAATGTAGATGAATCTCAAAAACAGAAAAAGGGAAGGAAGCCAGACAGAAAAGAGTACCTGCTTTATGACTCCATTTATATGACGTTCTGGAATAAGCAAAACCTACCATAGACAGAGAGCAGATCAGTGGTTGCCTGGGGCTGAGAGTGGGAGAGATTGGCTGGAAGGGGCACAGGGGAACTTTTGGGCAGTGATAAAAAGGCTGTATCCGGATTGTGGTGGTGATTACACAGGTGTATAAATTTATTAAAACTCATCTAACTGTACACGTAAAATAAGTACATTTTATTGTATGCAAATTACACCTTACTAAAGTTGACTTAAAACCCAAGGTAATACTAATAGGATAATAGTAATAATCATAAGAATAGTGATAATGAGACCACTCTAAACACATTGATATGAAGGATCTCCAAGGTGTACCAAGCAAAAAAAAAAAAAATCAAGAGGCAGAAAAATGTTAATAAGAGAAAAACTGTATCTATATTGTCTTAGGTACGTACAAAATAATCTAAAAGTTTATATGAGAAGCTAATAATACGGCGATGTGGGCTGAGAGGATGGAGACAGAAGAGGGAAGGATGTTACTTTAAACATCTCATCCTATGTTTTTTTTTTTCTTTTTGAGGAAGATTAGCCCTGAGCTAACCTACTGCCAATCCTCCTCTTTTTGCTGAGGAAGACTGGCCCTGAGTTAACATCCGTGCCCATCTTCCTCCACTTTATATGTGGGACGCCTGCCACAGCATGGCTTGCCAAGCGGTGCCATGGCAGCACCCCGGATCCGAACCGGGGAACCCCGCACCACCGAAGCAGAACGTTGGCACTTAACCGCTGCGCCACCAGGCCGGTCCTCCTCCTACTTTCTGACATTTGAATCAGGCGAACCCAGCTATCCCTCGCTGCTGGAACTCTTACTCACCCAACTGCCACATTTTCAATTCTCAAAAACAGGGACTGGCCCCGTGGCCGAGTGGTTAACTTCGCGCGCTCCACTGCAGGCGGCCCAGTGTTTCGTTGGTTCGAATCCTGGGCGCGGACATGGCACTGCTCATCGAACCACGCTGAGGCAGCGTCCCACATGCCACAACTAGAAGAACCCACAACGAAGAATACACAACTATGTACCGGGGGGCTTTGGGGAGAAAAAGGAGAAAAATAAAATCTTCAAAAAATTAAAAAAAAGAAAAAACCAAATAGTCGGAATACTTGCGGTTCGCTGTCCGGATTTACTACTTACTACACAAACGAAACTTGAAAACAAGAAACAGATGTCACCGAGGCCGGAAGGATCCCCCACGTCTCGGCGTCTATGGCTTTGTACATACAGTTCTTCCCCGGTCCACGGCCAGGGACAAGGGGCTGTCCCCCGCGCCCTGTCCCCCAGCCTCGCCTTCGCCGGCGCCCAGCCCGCAGGACCGCGGCCTTCGCTCGCTCCGCGCGCCCCGGGGGCAGGGGCTGGAGGCCACTGCAGCACAGAGACTGGTTTGGGGCGCCGGCTGCACCTCCCTGTCGCAGTCGCCCGGCCTCCCTTCTCCTAGGGGCACTTCCACCGGGCTGCCGCCGGGACGCCTCTGGGCAGGGTTGATGGCAGGACTGGGACAGAGGTTTGCCCCAGGAGACCACGGAGGGGGGCGCACCCTGCGCCGACCCGGGTAGCAACAGGTAGCCCCTAGCCCTGGCCTCTGTCCCCCGGCTATAGTCCTCAAAGGTCCTTCCCGGGGGTTCCTGCCCCATCTCCATCCTCCACTCCCACGAGATCTATGGGGCGGGAGGGCGCGGGCGGGTCCCCGGCGCGGGGAGGGGGGCCGCAGATTCCCGCCTCTGCCCCTCTACCCCCTAGACGGCCGCTCCGCCCGGGCGGTCGTCCTGGCTCCCCAGGGCGCGGCGGGCGGGGTCTCGCGGGGAGGGGCTGCGGGCCGGGACTGGGCGCGGGCGGGGGCAGAGCCGGCGGGCTGGGCGGCATGGGGCGTGGGTCGGCCGCTATACAGCCGGGGCGGAGCCCGGAGCCGGGAGCCGCAGCTTGGAGGCAGAGGCGCTCACAGCTATGGGCCGGGGGGCCCGGACAGCTCGAGGGTCGCCGGCGTTGCTGCTGCTGCTGCTACTAGTGCGGCCACGGTGGAGGGTGTTGGGGGCTAAGACGTTTCCAGGTGAGGACGTGGGCGCGGGTGCGCCCCGAGGGGCAGGCGAGGCCACGGCAAGGGGATGGAAGGTCTGAACCCACGGGACTGCGCGCCCGGGAGCACAGGGCCGTTTCGCCACCGAGCAGCTGCCTAGCAGCCCCCCACCCCAGCCCTCTGTCTGGATTCTCTGCTCTGACCAACCGCAGGCTCCATTCACCAGTGCGACCATTCCCTTAGGGCTCGGCGGGTCTCCCTCCTCCGGGAAGCCCCCAGCCCACTGGCCCCCAGGATTCCCTGCTGTGCCCTCAGGCTAGTGAACTAACTGTGGCCTCCACACTCACCCCATGCTCACCCCGTCATCCCGGGGCCTGGAGGCGGTGTGTATATCGTTTATATTGTTGCCTTGTTTGGTTAGATAGAGAAGGACGGCCTCAAACAGAAAGTGCCTGTTAGCTGGGCCCTGGGGGAAAACTGCAGCTCGTCTCTGCCAGTGTAGCCTCTCCAGACCCTCTGTGAGACAGGGCAGACCGCGATGACCTCTCCAAGTGGGTGGGAGGATTGGCAGAGTCCTGTCAGTCAAGTGCCAGAGAGGCGACAGGAAGGGCAACCAGGGAGGAGGTGGGAAGGGCTGGGCTGGGCAGCCTGAGGGTGGTGGGTTCCAGAGAACGGGGAGGCAGAGACCCAATACATGTAGGGCCCTCCTCTGTTCTGGAGCCCCGAGCGGGAGGGATGAAAACCCTCATGCCTTTGGGGACAGTCCCCAGGCATTCCGCTGGTTCTCCACATCCAGTTAAGTCCTCTCTGAGTGAGAGACGGCCCCTCCCCATTTTCCCCAGAGGTACTCAGACCCCTCCCCACAGGCCCTTCAGCCTCCATGTCAAGGCCACGTGTCCTCACCCCCACCCTACCCCTGCCTCCATCTCTACCTGCCTGATGGCAACTCACTCATCCAGTCAGGGAGGGCTTCTTGGGGAAGAGGGGCTCCTGGAGCTGCTGCTACTCTAGGTCTTTGATGGTCAGGGTCTGGGAGAGGAGACGGAGGAGGAGAGGGGAGTTGGGGGGGCCCAGGAGTAGCTGAGCCATTTCCAAGGCAGCCATCTCAGCCTGGGCAGGACTGGGGCCAGGGCTGGGTCGGGGCTGGGGAGCTATTGGTTCTGGAGGCTGGGTTTCCTCTGGCACTGAGTGCCAGAGGGGTGGGAGGGCTGCCTGGGGCCTTGCTGCTTCAGGGAGGGTGTGCTGAGTATTGCTGGGGCCCAGCTGTGGGGGGTGGGGGAGGGGAGTGGCATTCCAGGGGAGCATTCCAGATGCCTTCTGAGTAATGCTTGGCTCCTCCTGGAGCCCCCTTAGGCACACCAGGGCTGGGAGCACTCAGGCTCTGTCCCCCAGCCCCCACCTTGAAGACACAAGGAGGGGGCTTCTGGGCCAGAGTCCCTGGAAGCCCTGCCTCCAGCAGGAAGCCCCCAAGGGGAGCTCTGGGCAAAGTGGGCCTCCCAAGATAACATCTGGCTGTTGTTTTTCTCAGATGGTGGGGGAGACACAAGCATCTTCTCTTCACAGATTTCTCACCCTGAAGGCATCTGCTGCCCAGGCTAAAAATACCGGAAGCTACCTCCCCTTTCCTTTCCCCTCTGCATCCGGGCCTTGGTCTCTTTCTTGTGACCTTTGACCCCAAGCCCCCCTGCCCCAGGTCATTCGGGCTCCCACCTCCCCAGCTGAGCTGTCCTTCCCAGGCTCCTCTGTCTCGCTTCTGCCACCTCCCAGGTGGCTCCTCAGTTCCAAGGATACCCCATGGGTGCCCACCTTCTCCAGGCTAAGCCTTTGTGTGTTGAAGATGGAGTTTCTCCTTCCTCCTTGCTGATGTCCTCTAATCCCGCCCCTCTATTGTCCCCCCAATCCCCTATGTTCCTCAGGTCCCCTCACCCTGTGCTCTGTCCTCACCCCAGGAAACACCCTTGGAGAGCCAGTCACCCCTCACTGGGTCCTGGATGGATGGCCCTGGCGCATGGTCACCCTGGAGGAGCCGGTCAGTGCCACGTCATCCCTTCCTCTGCAGGGGCCCAGGGTCTCCCAGCCCCTTTGCCCCTCCTCAAATTTCAGCATGGCAGTTTCGCTGGAGTCCTTTAGGCCCCTCCCCAAAAGGTTGGCAGGTGAGGGTGGGCAGACAGCAGCTGCTGAGCCTGCACACATGGAAGTCATTTTCAGGCTTCCTTCCCCCCAACCTTGTCCCTCCCTTCCCAGGATTATCTGGGCCACCCCCACCCCACCAGGCAGACATGGGGCCAGAGTTTGTGGGGCCTGAAGCTTTTCAGGGACCTCTTTTAAAAAAACACCAAAATATCTTCCTTTTACAAAATTTACCAGAACATGTGACCCTTTGGACACATTGCTGTGCCTGCAGGACCCTGCCATTGAGGGACCTGAAACTTCAGTTCCAGTGGCTCATGCAGAATCCACTTCTGGCCAGGGGGCAGTGGTCACTCTCCTGGTGGCCCCTAGACGCAAGCCCACCCCATTTTGCTTCTCCAGTTTGCTGTGCGAAGCTCCTCCCAGCACGTGCCTCTTATACACTTCCAGAATAACCATGCCCCCATCGGTATGTGCTTCAGCAGCTGTGCTGCAAACCAGGAGGCCAGCAGCCTCCGTATGTCTATTTCACAGAGGGGCAAACAAGCTCAGAGAGGTTGGGGAAATTGCTCAAGGTCACACAGCTCTTTTTAGCCCAGCAGCCTGGGACTCACTAAGGTCTAGAGACTTTAAACCATTGGCCAATGTCCCCAAGCCTAGAGAGCTCTCTTTATCCTGAATTTCCAGGCAGAGAAGACAACCCACTGTCCAAGCCAGCAAGGAGGAAGGCAGGAGAGCACTGTCTTGAAGGCTGGGAGACCCCCACAGGCCCAGCAGCTCCCAACCTAGAACTCTCACTGGGGCCCCCCGGCCCCTCGGTGCCCCCATTCAAGGGGTCAAGAATGGCGTTGGCCCACGCTTTGAGACTGTCCTCCAGGACCTCACCAGCAGAAGAGAAGGCGAGACACATGCTGGCGTCATCCTGACTGTGGACCTCTCTCTCTGTCTGGCCCAGGCTGGGACCATGAGGGGAATCCCAAAGGGGCCTGGCTTTCCCCACTACAGGCCCTTACCTCTGGAAGCCTGCCGAGATGAGGACAGCAGACAGAGTTGAGGCAGAGAGTTCTCCCCAGAGGCAGGAAACACCCAGATTTCAGGTTGGGGATGGGGTGCAAAGTGAGAGGCAGGGTGACGAGGAGGGCAAGAAGTGAGGACAGGAGGGACTACAGAGAGACAGGAGCCCTGGGGATGGGGGTGGGGCTGTAGGAGGCCTTCCATTCGGGCTGCCGCCTCCCCTTAGTGCAAACCTTTCTCCAATAAAGCAAGCGGCATTCCGGCCATATGAGCTCACGCTTGGAGACTTGGGGGTCCCTTGGCTAGGGGGATGGGGGCTGTCTGCTCCCCACCTGCAGAGGAAGGACCCCCCCAAGACTCTGAGCCCCTTGGCCTTGGGCCCAGCCCAGTGCATTGTGGGATAAAAGAGAAGGGCCAAGCATTCCAAAGACACAGCAGCTCTCCAGGAGGCTCCTGGGCCAGCTCCAATTCTGGGCCCCCAGCCAGGCTGAGTGGCCAGGGAGGGCAGATGGGGTATTCCCACAGGGTGGAAGGGGCAAAGAGGGCAGGGCAAGGAGCCGCGAGCTGGCCAAGCCGGTGTTTATCTCTTGGGCCCGCTTGGAGATCGGTGTTTACTTCATGGGCTCAGTGGAACAGGCATGGGGCAGGCCTGCGGGGATCCAGGGGAACTTCAGTGCCAGGAGGAGTTTGTCGCAACTGGAGGTGGAGGAGTGAAGTCTGAATTCTAGAGGGAGCGGGGAGCAGCAAGGTATAGAAGCAAGAGGTTGTGAGGAGGCCTGGCCTCCTACCCGAGGCTCCCTGGCCATGTCTTCAGGACCCCTCTGTCCTGCCTGCTTAGAAGAAGCCTCTGGGCGTGGAAGAGGAGTGAGGGCCAGAAGAAGGGCCCAGTCTCCTTGGGCAAGGCAGGGCAGTTTTCTGGGACCCCTCGTCTCTCTACGGAGGGTGTGGTGTGCACCAAGCAGGCTATGTCAAATGGCTGTTGTCAGAATAACCAACATCCTGAGCTTGGGAACATTTGTCTGCATGTTCTCACCCCCACATCCATCCACATCCACCCTGGCAAGTGGGGTGCCCGCTACCCCCCACTCCCGCCCCATGAACTCCCTCACCAGCCAGCTCTACGTCCCACCTGCTCCTTGGCAGGCAGGAGGGCTGGATGCTTGCTCTCAGCCCTGCACTCCTTCTCACCCAGGTCTTGAAGCTAGACACGGGGCTGGTGGCCTTGGAGGCTGAAGGCCAGGAGCTCCTGCTGGAGCTGGAGAAGAACCAGTGAGTACCAGGCCAAGGAGGGGTCTGGGAGCCAAGAATCGCCCCTTTCTCTGGGAGGGACCAATGCTGGGGGTGGGGACTGGCAGGCACCCATGAGGGAGGGTAAAGGGGGCAAGGGCTCTGGGGAGGTGCAGGGGACAAGGAGAGTCACGCCAACCCACGACAGCCTCCCTCGAGGCTGAAGTGGACTGTTGAGGCTGAGTTGGCCTCGCTGTGGGGCATGTCCCTCCTCCCAGCCCCAGGAGCATCTTGTCAGCTCCCTGCCGGAAATGAGTAAGCATCACCTAGCAGGTGCTCACAGGCTATGCTGAGTCAAGAGAGAATCCAAGATGGAGTCCAAAGATGAGTGGGTACTCCGGGCTGACAGAATGGCAGGGACAAAGGGGCAGTGGCTACAAAGGTCAAGGCACATTCAGGGGGAGGCAGGCCTGCCTGCCTAGAGGGTCTCCACCTGCAGGGAAGGGAGCAGCAGGAAAGGAATTTGGGGAGTCCCAGTAGGGTCAGATCACAGGCCATTTTAGTGCTGAGTGTCCTGGACGGTGCAGAGCCAAAGATTCTGAGCTGGTGAATGAGCAGGCAGAGTGGGCTGGGTGGGGTGGGTGTCCCAGATGGAGCGTGGGGTCTTGAGACTGTCCAGCCTATATTATCAACAGCTGTTTATGTATTGAGTGCTTTTTTCATTGCAGACACTGTTCTAAGCACTCTCCATGTGTTTTATTCTTCTCCATGGAGTCAGATGGACTGGGAACCATCTCTGGTTCCACCATGCTTAACCATAGTTTCTCTGGGGTTCGATGTCCCCACACATTAAATGGGGTGATCACGTCACCTACCTCCTACGGTTGTGTGTGTGCGTGGTGTGGGGGAGGGGAGCAAAGCTGGAGAAGGTGGAGAAGCAGGCATCACAGCTTCTGAGGTGGTCTGGTGATAAAGAGGCCAAGGTGAGGTGGAGGTCAAGGCTTTTCTTTAAGGAAGAGAGACTGACTTATGGTTGATCCATCTTGGTGGGAAGGACCCTGGTGAGATGGAGCCTGAAGATGGAATCATTACTGGAGTGGGGTCTGGGAAGGTGGGGTTGGGGAGCCCTGCTCAGGCAGGCAGGGCAGGGACAGGTGTGGGCAGGTGGGGATTCTGTTTTCTCTGGAAGCAGGGGGTGAACATCACTGAAGGGTAGATGGCAGATATATGGGGCCAGGGGGCTGGAGGAGAAGATTTGAAGGATCTTTGAGGTGGGGAGGTGGACCAGATGCCCAACAAGAGGAGGCAGCAGGCAGGGCTGCCTAGGGTGTTCAGCACACTTCCTTGGCTCCAAGTCCCACCTCTGAAGTGTCTCCTGAATCCTCCCCTCCTGCCCAGCTCCAGACCTGTGGGTCCAGGTGCCTGCCGCAGGCCTCACAGGGACCCCAAACTCTCCTGCCCCTCCCTGGTGCTTCCCACACTCCCACTTCCTACATCTAAGCCATCACCAAGGCTCCTTCCTGCCCTTTACCTTTCTCCCTCTAGGCTAAGGTTTTTCTGAGCTGAGCAACACACAGCTGCTCCAGTCCCTTCCCTAAGACACACTTTGGGTGCTTAAGTGCCTCACTCCTAGAGCTGCTCAATTAGCATTCAGGGAGAAGGCTGGAGGGCATCCTGGAGGAGGAGGCAGGGCTGAATTAGGTGATTCCTACAACATCCCCTCCCAGCAGGCTGCTGGCCCCAGGATACACAGAAACCCACTACAGCCCAGATGGGCAGCCAGTGGTGCTGGTCCCCAACCACACGGTGAGATAATTCTATGGGCTCTGAGGACAGAGTGAGGGGTGCTGGGGGATGCACAACCTGAGGGCCTCCACAACACTCCTCCCTCATTCTCCTCCTGTTCCTAAGGGGAGGTTGGGGTCAGCCCCCCTATGCCCTCTCTCTTGCCCTTCCCGCTTCAGCCCTGGCTGAGATTTGGGGCTGGGCCCCTTGCTCTCCAGGATCATTGCCATTACCATGGGCGCGTGAGGGGGTTCCCTGACTCCTGGGTAGTCCTCAGCACCTGCTCTGGGATGAGGTGAGGAGTTCAGGGGGAGGGGGCAGGGCCTGGGGCTGGGGAAGGAGTTCCCTCACACCCCTCTCTGCACCCCTCTGTGTCCTAGGGGCCTGATCTCACTCAGCAGCAATTCCAGCTACTACGTGCATCCCGGGCCGGCTGGGGACTCCAAGGACTTCTCAACCCACAAGATCTTCCAGATGGAGCAGCTGCTCAGCTGGAAAGGGGCCTGTGGCCATAGGGACCCCGAGGACAAAGGGGGCATGGCCAGCCTTTCTCATGCCACCCAGATCAGGGTCAGGGGCACAGACAGGGGTGGGAGCGGGAATGCGGCATCCGTAGCCCTCCAAATCAGAAGAGACAGGACTGCATGGCCCAGTTTGGGGGCTCCTGTCCTGATATTTTTATTTGGAGGCTGAAGAAACAAGTTCTAGCAAATTTTTTAAGTTGACTTGGTGCTTTCTGGGGGTTGGGGCTGGTGGTCAGGGCTCACGCCCAGCAGCCTGCCACTCAGGGTCACCACCTCTTCTCCCCAGGAGAGGCGGGAGGCCCACAGGAGCTGGAGGTACCTGGAGCTGTACTTGGTGGCTGACCACACCCTGGTGAGAGGAGACCCAAGGGGCTTGGCGGGGCGGGGATGGGGCCAGCTCAGCCGTCACACTGCAGTATTGCTGCCTTCCCAGTTCTTGACTCAGCGCCGGAACTTGAACCACACCAAACAGCGTCTCCTGGAGGTGGCCAGCTATGTGGACCAGGTTGGAGGCTGCAGGGAGAGACCCTAATGGGGTTGACCCCGACAGGGACCAGCAGGTCCTAGCAGGACGTGGCAGGCTTGGAGAAGAGGAGAGGGAATAAGAGAAGGGAGGGGCGCCCTCACGGGGGAGCACGGACACTGTGGCCACCTGGTCCCCGCGTCAGCCCGTGCCTGCCCGCAGATTCTCAGGACTCTGGACATTCAGGTGGCAGTGACCGGCCTGGAAGTGTGGACAGAGCAGGACCGGAGCCGTGTCACACTGGACGCGAATGCCACCCTCTGGGCCTTCCTGCAGTGGCGCCGGGGGCTGTGGGTGCGGAGGCCACACGACTCGGCGCAGCTGCTCACGTGGGTGCCTCCGACCCCCACGCGGGTCCCCCACCGGGTGGTCCCGACTCCCGGCCCCGCCCGGTCATGCCCATGCCGCGCTCCACTCTCAGGGGCCGCGCCTTCCGGGGCGCCACCGTGGGCTTGGCGCCCGTCGAGGGCATGTGCAGCGCCGAGAGCTCTGGAGGCGTGAGCACGGTGAGCTCCGCCCCCGACAGGACGCGGAGGAGAGGTGCTGGGCTGGGGGCATCCCCGCAGCCCGCAGTGACCGTCCCCACGCCCTCCCAGGACCACTCGGAGCTCCCCATTGGCGCTGCAGCCACCATGGCCCACGAGATAGGTCACAGCCTTGGCCTCAGCCACGACCCCGACGGCTGCTGCGTGGAGGCTGCGGCCGAGCAAGGCGGCTGCGTGATGGCAGCAGCCACTGGGTACGGGCGCCGCGGTGGGGGGTACGGACTGCGGGGGAGGCTCGGCTACAGAGATCCCTCAGTTTCCCCTTCTGTAAAATGAGTATATGATAATAGTACCCGCCCTGAGAGTTGTTTATGAGGCTTAAATGGAGGAAACGCAGGTAAAGTGGATTCTCGAGAGCATGAAGATTATTTTCAGAACAACCTAGCGACGTTACTCTAACCCTGGGAGTCGCAGCGCTTGGTCGGGATTCGACCTTGAGTCCTAGGCTGCCCGCTCCTGGCGTCACATCCTCTTGCCTCAGGTTCGCTGTGTGACTTCGCGCAGGTTACTTCCCCTCTCTGGGCTCTGCCTTTAGAGGATTCGAGCTGCTACCCGTCGCTCAGGCGGTGTCGGCGCATCCCGCGGCTGTGCGGCCAAGCACGGGGGCGGGGGTGGGGGCGGGGCAGAGATCATCAGAGAAGGGCAGGGGGTTGAGGGGGTGGTCCCCGCACGCCAGACGCCCTTCCCCGGCCGTAGGCACCCGTTCCCGCGCGTGTTCAGCGCCTGCAGCCGCCGCCAGCTGCGGGCCTTCTTCCGCAAGGGGGGCGGGGCGTGCCTTGCCAATGCGCCGGACTCTGGGCTCCTGTTGCCGCGCGCGAGGTGCGGGAACGGCTTCGTGGAGGAGGGCGAGGAGTGCGACTGCGGCGCTGGCCAGGTCAGGTCTGCGCGCCCGGCCCTCGGGGACCCAGGCTCGCCCCCTCTCCCCCATCGCCCGAGGTCTGGGGAGCTGCGCCCTCACCTGGTTCCTGCTCCCCTTTCTGGCTCCAGGAGTGCCCGGACTCCTGCTGCCTCGCCCACAACTGCTCGCTGCGTGCGGGGGCCCAGTGCACCCACGGGGACTGCTGCGCGCGCTGCCTGGTGAGGGCATGGAGGTTCGGGGGTGCGTGCGGGTGGGGGCGCTTGGGAGCCGACCTGCTGGTCTTGGGTGATTGGCGCCCTCAGGTCCCCCTGCAGGTGCTGGCTCTGCTCTGTGCGTGCGTCCGCCTGGCCCTCCCGCCTCTGGGCTGCCCTATCGGCGTGGATTTCTCACTGTCCGTTGTCTGTTTGTGCCTCGGCCACCCTCCCTCCACCCGGGACACCTGCGTAGCTGAAGCCCGCGGGCACGCCATGCCGCTGGGCTGCGGGCGACTGTGACCTCCCAGAGTTCTGCACGGGCGCCTCCCCATACTGCCCCCCGGACATTTACCTCCTGGACGGCTCGCCGTGTGCCAGCGGCCGGGGCTACTGTCGGGACGGCGCGTGTCCCACGCTTGAGCAGCAGTGCCAGCAGCTCTGGGGGCCTGGTGAGACGCCGCCGCCATCCTCGGGTCTGCGCGGAGTTTTCAACTCTGGGGAAGATAGGGTTGGGGGACTGAGGCCGGAAAGCGTGGTCCTGCCCATGCTTCCTCAGGCTCCAGCCCAGCCCCTGAGGCCTGTTTCCAGCTTGTGAACTCCGCGGGAAATGCCCACGGGAACTGCGGCCAGGACAGCGAGGGTGGCTTCGTGCCTTGTGCGCAGAGGTGGGGAGTGAAGCCGAGGGAGCGGAAGCTGGGAGCTTGTTGGGGTAATTGGGATGCTTCACGCTGTTTGACCACCGTCCACTTCGTCCCCAGGGACGCGCAGTGTGGGAAGCTGCAGTGCCAGGGTGGGGAGCAGAGCCCACTCAGGCCACACACGGAGCCCGTGGACTCCATCCTCCGCCTAGGCAGCCGCAAGGTGACCTGTAGGGGAGCCTTCCTGCTGCCCGGTGCCCAGCTGGACCTGCTTGACTTGGGCCTGGTAGAGCCAGGCACCCAGTGTGGACCTAGAATGGTGAGTGCTGCCCACCCGACCCCGCCCTACCGTTTAAGTCCCACAGGCCAAAGCGTCACTGCCCAGTGCACACACTGCCCCACAGGTGTGCCAGGACAGGCGCTGCCAGAACATCACCTTCCGGGAGCTGGAGCGCTGCGTGACTGCCTGCCATGGCCATGGGGTAAGTGGCTCCACGGGTGAGAGTGACCTTGGGGTCCCTGATCCCATGCGACCCTCCTTTTCTTTTCTTACCTGCAGGTTTGCAATAGTAACCATAACTGCCACTGTGCTCCAGGCTGGGCTCCACCCTCCTGCGACAAGCCAGGGTTTGGCGGCAGTGTGGACAGCGGCCCTGTGCAGCCTGAAAGTGCGCCCATTGGGGGCAAGTGGGGTGGGGCTGGGCTGGTGCGCCTGCGCAGGACTCAGACGCACCGTGTCCTCCTCAGACCGCGGTACCTTCCTGCTGGCGGTGATCCTTAGTTTCCTGCTGCCTCTGCTCCTCGGGGCCGGCCTGGCCTGGTGCTGCTGCCGGCGGCCGGGATCTTGGCTCTGGCAATGCCTCTGGGGCTCAAGGAGGGCCCCCGCCTGCTGGGGGTAGGCTCTGAGGACCTAGGTCTCTGCTCCCTGAGCGCACTCCTGTGGTTCCTCCTCCTCAGAGCTCTTGTGGGCCCGGGGCAGCTGGAGGTTCAGGCCTCTCCCTCAAGAGCAGAGAGATGGGCGGAGGAAGTGGAAAGAAGCCTTGAGCAGGAGGCCTCAGTGGCCTCCCAGGGAAGCCAGGGTGTGGATCCCTGCAGGGCCCTCTGCCCTCCCCATCACTGTGGTTCAGCCGCTCATGGCCGCCTCTCCTGCTTCTCCCGCCAGGGGGCTGCCTCACCCTTGACTTTGCCCCGTTTTTCCAACAGCTCGTATAGCAGTTCTTGCTTCCACTGTGTCCTTCAAGGCCTCTCTAGCTGCTTTCTGTCATGAATTTTCAACCCTCTGCTACTTCTTCTGCCTAGATCTCTGCTGCTCCTCCCTTCAAGTTCCCAAACGCTGGGCGCATCACATCTTTTCACTCCACACCACTGGGCAGCTATGGCACTGGCTGCCCTTGTGCCAAGAACCCACCCCTAACTCAGTTCTCTGTGACCTAGGTAGAAGGTCATGTGATACCAAGCCTGGTTGATATCAGGCTGTCCCTTCCCTGGGACACTGGGCAAGGCAGGCACCCTAGATCCACATCTGACACAGCCTGGCCTTGGGAGTGCTCCAAGCAAGCTGAGGGAGAGGGCAGGGTTTGGGCTAGAGATTGGGGCAGAGAGCATCCCAGACAGGGGCAGGGCCCCAGCCAGGTACAGGTGCCAGCTGAGAGGGCCTTGACACAATGGTCATGGTTGCAGGTCTATGGGCAGAGGAGCAAGATGATCAGAGCTTGGTGTGTCAGCATCAGGGGGCCAGAAGGGAGGGCAGCAACTGCTTCACATCGCCAGGGCGGGGTCTTCAGGGCAGTGGAAACTGTTTTGAAGAGATATTGAAGGAAGTGGCAAGGCCCTGGGGGAAGGGGCACAAACAGCCAAGCATGGCTTGGAGTCATCAAAGGCAGCAGGGCCACCAAGTGGCAAAGAGGACGTCCACCCATCTTTGGGACCTGAGCTATGCCAACATCTGGAGGGTACCAGGATGCTAGGGTGGTGCCAGAGCTTGGGAGAAATGTCAGGGCTGGAGAGAAGGGCTGGCAGCCCCAGGAGGGCATGAGTCTCAAGAGGAGCCTGGACCCTAAGGGCTCCTTGCAGGAGGGAGCAGGAAGGGAGCTGGAGAGAGTGACCTGGAGCAGAAGGGTGGAGACTCAGTCAAGGAAGAACTCAGGCTGGGTGCACATTGCTCAGGGTCACTCTTCCAACCTCCTGGCCTCTTGTCCTGCCGCTCAGGCCCAAAGATGGCCCACGCAGGGAACACCCCCTGGGCAGCATTCACCCCGTGCAGTTGGGTCCCACAGCCACTGGAGAGCCCTGGCCCCTGGGTGAGTGAGGCACAGTAGGAGATGGGGAGGGAAGTGAAGGGATGGGCCCCTTCCTCTCCACTTAGCACCCAGTCACCCTGAGTCCCCTATGCCCCATTCTGCCCCAGGGACTCCTGCCAACTGTGTTCACAGCACCCATCCGCCCATTGCTCCACAGGCATTGAGAACTCTGCCACAGCCCAACAGCCACCGTGAGAAGCCTGTGCCCTGTAGTCCTGCCTGCACCCCAAGGTAGGTGGGGCCCTCCCCCTCCCATTGCTCATCCACCCACCTCTGTTGCCTCTCATCTCACTGTCCCTGACTCTGAGCTTTCTGAGCTTGGGTTATTATGTAAATAAGACATGACCTCGTGGAGAAGCTGTTCTCATGGAGACCAGATGCTAGAAACCCCTGAGGTGGGAGAGGGAAAAGTTGTGGCTCTTCCTGGGTCACTGGTCCTCACTGAGAGAGAACAGGGCATCCCTGCTCATGACTTGCAGCCTGGGGTCCCAGCCCTCAGGGGATGACCCCTCTTTCACTTCATTCTCAGCAGGTCAAGTCCGGAAGCCAAGATCCTATTGAGAGGGGGCTCCTGAGATGAGGAGATTTAAAGACAGATGGCTGCTGACAGCTGCTCCAGGAACTTGGATCCCCCAGGGGCAGAGCCAGCAAGTCAGCTGACCTCCTGCACCTTCAGGCAGCTTGCAAGTTTCTTCCCCAAGTCGAGCTCTGCCCTACCCTTTCCAGGACTCCAGAGCCTCATCAGAAGTTGCCCAGTGCTGTCCCTGTTCCTTAGGGCTGGAGGATTCTGCTAGGACACACACTCCAGCCCAAGAGTCCATCGGTCCAAGGAGCAAAGGTCATGCAGTCACTGACCTTCTGTCACCAGGGGAGGCTGGGTCATGCTGGGCACCGGGAGAGGCCTCTGTCCGGGGAGCCTGGATGTGTCTGCTCCATGTGCTTCACCCAGACCCAGCTCTGCAGGGGCAATGACTGCTGAGCCAGAAGCCTGGACTCCAGGGCCCCTACGTTTCAGACTGAGTCCACTTCCCTGGCCCCTGGCCTCTGCAAAACAAATGAAATCCTTGGGACCTTCCTTCCTCCCTCTTCTTGCCCTGTCTTGTCCCCTAGATGCTTCCTCAGCCACCTCCCTCTCCCCCATTCTTTGTCTTCCACTAGAGGTTTTGGAGTGTAGGGGTCTGCTGCAGCCCCCTCACTTTGGACATTACTCAGCCTCTCCTGTATTCTGTGTAAGGGGACAGAAGGAGCCATTTTAAAAAGGACACCAAAGTAGAAGTCAGAAGAAAGACATATTGGCCCTGGGCCTCTGTGAGTCTTTCCTGTCTGTAAAGGCAACTCCATGAGGCTCCCTGAGCGTCACGAGGGGCTTGTGGGTGGAGGCCCAGGGCCCCAGATGTACCTGGGCATAGGATGGTGTTGCCTATTGTGAATGATCCCTCTGCCCCACCTCTTCTGCCTCTGTGGGACGTTCTCAGAAGCCACTTATTCTCCCCTCTTGTTTCATGCAAGAGTTGCTGAGTGACCTTCTGTATCAGCCAGCTGTTGCTGCATAACATAAGCACCCCAAAACTTAGTAGCTTAAAACAACTAATTCTGTGAATTGGCAAATTAGGTTGCACTCAGCTGGTGGTTCAGCTGGTCTCGGCTAGGCTTACTTATGTGTTTGCAGTCAACTGCCGGTCAGCTGGGCAGTTCTGTTTCTGGGGTTGGCTGGCTGTTGGCTAGGGTGATGAGGATGAATGGGCTATGTGTCTCTCATCTTCCAGCAGGCTAGCCCAGGCTTGTTCACGTGACAGCTGAGGGTCCTAAGAGAGCAGGACCAGGATTAGGGTGAGATGAGTGAGGGACTTACCTTGGGCACAAAAAAGATCAAGATAAGTAATATTTTAATGCAATATTTTAAAATATCAAAATTAATGCAAAAGATCCACGATGAACAAAATATCAAAATTTTAACTGTAGACAGGATCAGTAACCATGCCATGCCAAGCCATCTTGGAACCGCACCTTAGTCCCAACCCTGAAAGTAAGTGGAAGCTTGCAAGGTCTCTTGAAGATTCCGTGACTGGCACATTTTATTTCTATAACACTTTATTGGCCCAAGTAAGTCACAGGGCCAGCCCAGGTTCCAGAGATTGGGAGAAAAACTCTACCTTTTGATAGCAAGAGCAGCAGAATCAAATTTCAGGGAGTGTGAAGAACTGGGGAATTTTTGCAGTCGCCCACTCTTTCCGCTGGAGCAAAGAAGACGCAGCCCGGGCTCAGGCTTGCTTTCATTCCACCAGCCGGAGAGATTAAATGAGACTCTTTTCTAAAGCTCCCTTCTGCCCTAATTGTACCCCTGAGACTTTGATTTATAAAGATGACTGAGTGATGACATGAAGAGGTTAATGCCACTGAAAGAAGTTTTTGTTACTTACAGTTCCTGAGAGAAGGGGGGCATGCCATGCCAAGCGGGGCCACATGGGGATGCACTAGGTTTAGTGAGGAGGCAGATGCAGGCGCGAGGGGAGCGCCTGTATTGCAGTTTCCACAGGAAAGGCAAGGCAGGGCAGGATAAACAGCTCAGGACTGGCTAATCTGAATAATTCTGGCTGGCACTGGGGTACAGGGGTGGTCTCTAGTTATCTGGTACCTGGTCCTGAGTTAGGGCGGGGGAAATAGTGGCTTGGTGCCTGAGAATTAGAAAAAAGGAGGTGGTTGGGGGTATGGACTCGAGATAGGTTGGTTTGCATACGAAAGGCATGTTCACAGGCCAGTTTTTATCACCTCTAGGAATTAGCTAGTCCTGGGAGGGTCAGTCTCTCCCCGAGCCAGCAAGCCCTCCCACCCCCCACCAAGATGTCAAACCATCATGAAATGCAGACAATAAAGAACATGATTAATACACCTCACAGTCTCACTTTTCAGGAGGGAGTGTCTGGACCCCATGGGATTCCAGCTACACAGGACCCAATGGGGGCCAATCTCTGCTCTCTTGACTTACTTCGGACTGCCCAGGGGAAAGCTCTGGGAAGGGCCAGATGGGAAGGAGGGAGGGCAGTGGGAGGGGAAATCCCAGTCTGAGGGGAGAGGCGCATCTGGCGCCCAGGATCACCTGGCTTGTGGTGGAGAACTCAAGAAAAGAGGAGAGCAGAGCTGCCATGAGGACAACAGTGGAAGCACCAGGAGGGCAGAGGTGAATGGAGGATAGGAGGGGAGGGCTCAGCCACATCAATCTAGAGCTAAGCAAGGGGTGCTGATGTCAGGCTGCGGGCAGTGACTGAACCCCACGAGCTGTGACTTCTTCCCTTAGGCCACCCAACCTCCAGTTGTTCAGGGCTGCCCCTGGGTTGCTCTGAGTGTAGTGTGCAGTAATCTGTGGGCCCCTCTTCCCCTCCCTCTCTCTAGAGGCCCTCCCTGCTAAAGAAGGGAAGTATTCACACCTCCAAGCGGTTGTGACCACCCAAAAAGAACGCACACCTGCCCTGTGTAGTCAGAGCTTGATCGTGAGTTTCCTTCCCTCATCTACTCTCTCCTTCCACGTGTCAGTTTACAAGTGGATTTTATAGAATTAAACACAGCTGACTGCAATGGGGTGATGGTTTGCATTTTGCTTCAGTGGCCATGGTTGTCAGCATTGTGGCCTCCCAATTCATGAAGCAAATTAGGCAATAAACCACAGATACAGGTATTACCATACCCAGGGGCAGCCAGGCTGATTGTGGCTCTTAGAATATATGTTGAACACCTGAGTTTTAAAGGTCAGTAGGGATAACAAAAATCACATAGGGAAAGAACGCAGATTTCAGAACACTCTTTTGGTTCTTAAGAAGGTCTTCTGATTTCAAGTAATAGAAATCCAACTCAAACAAGCTATATAGAAAACGAAGTTTATGGGCTCATGGGACTGTGGGGTATCACTGGACGCTGCGTTCTCTCACTGCCTCTCAGCTGTGCTTTCTTCTTGGAGGGCTTCTCACACAGGCAAGTTCTTCCAAAGATGCTCCTGGTAGTTTCAGGTTCATCTTCCTCCAGAATAGCTCATCCAGTGCAAACAGTCTGCCTTTTATAGTCCTGGAATTAACTGTGGTTAGTCCAGCTTGGGTCATGTGTCCATCCATGAGCCAATCCCTATAGCCTGAGAGATACTGGACTTTCACTAGCTAGGCCTGGGTCATCACTCTCCCCTCGAGGCCCAGGGTGGGGTCAACTCAGCAGAGCCACAGGACTGATACTGGGGAAGGACTGGTTTCCACAAAGAGATATATTTTGTTACTAGAGGAGAGAATGCTGGAAAGACAAAAGTGGATGTCTTCTATGTGAGGCATCTGCTCTTGGGGCCACGTTTCTATTCTAGCTCTGGACATCTTCCCAAAAGACTTCCTGGAAGTCTCACTGATTCTCTGCTATAATCCTCCATCCTCTCCAGGAACTTGAAGAATCTTCCTCTGTTCACTCACAGGGGCCTGGGGCTGCCCAACACACAGAGAGGCAGAGTGTCCCCACGCCAGCAGTTGTGTCAGTGTCAGCTTGCTTTGTAAAAATGTATTTATACCAAACACTATCTGTATGTTTTACAAAATAGTAATAATAGTAATGGCTAATTTGTTGGGTGAGAAAAGGATTGAACAAAATATTAGACAATAGTGTGTGAGCCCAGAAGTGGGTAACTTTGGTTAATGTTCTATGTCCTTTTATAGTTCAAGAAGAGGGTTAAGATACAGGTTAACTTAGCACTTTACTTATGTATGCATTTCAAAGGGAACCAGAAAGATTGAAATTGAGGATATAACTTTAACTTTTAAATCAATTCAGCAGAAAAAAATGGAATAAAGAACTCAAAGAGAAAAAAATCATAAAAATAGGATAAAAATGTGACAAATAGAAAACACAAATGTAATATAAACAAGTCCAAAGATGTCAGTAATATAATAATTGTAAATTAATTTAACATGCCAGTTAAAAAAGAGATTGTCAGATTTTAAATAAAAGATACATCTAAAATTTAAATTCAAAGCAAGGCTGAAAGAAATAGGATAAGCTGTACTCCACAAATACAAAATAAAGCTGGAATGCCTATTTTAACACCAGATAAAATATACTTTAGGACATTACTAGGAGCAGAGAGGATCACCACATAATAAGATATGAAAAGTTTAACAGTTATAAACATGAATGCACCCAATAAAATAGCCTAAATTTTTTTTACTGGAATAAGTGGACCAACTCACCATCATAGTTGTAATGCAACAGACTTCTCTCAATTACTGATAGGTAAAGCCATTTCAAAAAGTTAGTAAAGATGTGAAAGACGAACATAACAATTAACATGCTTGACATAAAGGACCTGGACAGACCTCTACACTTGACAGAGAATATTCATTCCTTATAGGCACCACTAAAGCAAGTCTCAACACATTTTAAAGAAGTAGTATCATTCAGACCACATTTTCTAATGACAAAGCAATTAAGTAAAGAGTCAATAAAATGATTAATTTAAAGATCCCTATATGCTTGGAAATTTAAAAACACGCTTCTAAATAGCTTATGGGTCAAAGAAGAAATCATACTGGAAACTGCATGATAAAAGTTGAATGATCAGATGTTGTATATGCCGTGAAAGTGGTACTTTGAGGGAGATTTACAGACTTATGTCTTTTTTATTCAAAGGAAGGCTGAAAGTTAATGGGATCAGGGACCAAGCTAAGAAGTTAGAAGCCTAGAACCAGATGGTTTCACTGGTGAATTCTACCAAATATATAAAGAAGAATTAACAACAATCCTTCTCAAACACTTCCCAAAAATTGAAGAGGAGGGAACACTCCCAAACTCATTTTATGAAGCCAGCATTACCCTGATACCAAAGCCAGATAAGGACAATACAAGAAAATAAAACTACAGGCCAATATCCCTGATGAATACAGATGCAAAAATTCTCAACAAAATATTAGCAAACTGAGTTCAACATCACATTAAAAGGATCATACACCATGATCAAGTGGGATTTATCTCTGGGATGCAAGGATGGTTCAACATATGTAAATCAATAAATGTGATACATCACATTAATAGAATGAAAGATTAAAATATGATCATCTCTATAGATTCAGAAAAAGCATTTGACAAAATACAACATTCTTTTATGATAAAAACTCTCAAGAAATTGAGTATAGAAGGAATATACCTCTGGGGCCGGCCCTGTGACTGAGTGGTTAGGTTCACACACTCTGCTTCAGTGGCCCGGGGTTTGCTGGTTCGGATCCTGGGCATGGACCCACAGACTGCTCATCAAGCCATGCTGTGGTGGCATCCCACATAGAAGAACAAGAACAAGACTTACAACTAGAATATACAACTATATGCTGGGGCTTCGGGGAAAATAGAAAAATAAGAAGAGGAAGATTGGCAACAGATTAGCTCAGGGCCAATCATCCAAAAAAAAAAAGAATATACCTCAACATTACCAAGGTCATATATGACAAGCCCACAGCTAACATTATACTCAACAGTGAAAGGTTGAAAGCTTGTCTTCTAAAATCAGGAACAAGACAAGGGTGCCCACTCCAACCACTCCTATTAAACACAGCACTGGAAGTCCTGGCCAGAACAGTCAGGCAAGAAAAAGAAAGAAAAGGCATCCAAATCAGAAAGGGAGAAGTAAAATTGTCTTTATTTGCAGATGACATGATCTTATATATAGAAAATCCTAAAGACTCCACCAAAAAACTGTTGGAACTAATCAACAAATTCAGTAAAGTTGCAGGATACAAAATCAACATACAGAAATCAGTTGTGTTTTTATCCACTAACAACAAAATATCTTTAAAAGAAATAAAACAATTTCATTCACAACAGCATCAAAAACAATAAAATACTTAGGAATAAATTTAACCAAGGTGAAAGATCCGTACACTGAAAATTACACGACTTTGATGAAAGAAATTGAAGAAGACACAAACAAATGGAAAGATATACCATTTTCATGGATTGGAAGACTTGATATTGTTAAATATCCATATTTCCCAAAGCCATCTATAGATTCAATGCAATCCCTATCAAGATTCCAATGGCATTTTCCACAAAAATAGGAAATACTAAAATTTGTGTGGAACCACAAAAGATCCCAAATAGCCAAAGCAATCCTGAGTGAAGGGTATAAGGAGAACGCTAACAATTTTTGCAACTTTTCTGCAAATCTAAAATTAGTAAAAAATTAAAAATAAAATTATAAAAGAAGGTACAGAACAACGTTGTTTCATAAAGTTAATGGTTTATGCGTGGGAGAGACAAGGTCTTCGTGGGTTATTGTGAGGTGTTGCTTTGTGTGTATGGGGAAGTGTGTGTTGGGGTCCATCTAGGCACACTCTGGCGCTGGATTCAGTAGCTCCCAGATCAATCTGGAAGTGCAGCCTGGAGTAGAGACTCAGTGGGGGCGGGGAGTCAGGCAAAGGCTCCTCCCAGCCCCAGTCTACGTGTTAGCGCGGACACCTGGGTTTTCAACGAGCTCCATCCCAGGCGGCGCTGGGAGAGAGGCACCTGTCCGACTGGGGTTCTGCCTCCGGTCGTCCTCTCCTCTGTTCGCTGCCCGGCATGGCCCGCTGCTTGGGGCCCTTGCTGCTGCTGCTGCTGCTGTTACTGCTTCTGGGTGAGTGGCTACCTCCTCCCCCTCGCCTCCCTGTCCCCATCCTCAGGGACAGGGTGGGAGGGCAAGAGGGCGATTCCGGGAAAAGCTGGAGCGTAAGAAGGGGCGTGGGCGAGAGACCTGTGGGAGTGGGGGTGCATGGACACCTGGCACTACGCTCCAGCGCACCGCTTCCCGCCTTTGTGGGGGCGCCGCCCTCCCAAGTCTCGCTTTCGTACCCCTATCCCAGAAACTTTCCTTTTCCTATTGCCTCCCCTCTCCCACCTCTCTTACCCTTCCCCAGCCCCAGCCCTCTGCCTTCAGTCTTGGAGCTTCACACTGATTCCTTGCTCCGCGTCTTCAGTGTCTCCGGTGCCACGGACCTGCTGTTCCACTTGCTCAGGACTGCCCCCTCTTCACCGGGGGCATCGAGGAGGGAGGGGTCACTTTACTGGGTGGGATGGGGTGGGGAGGATGGATTCTGGCAAAAGCTTAAAGCAGTGGAGATCTTGGAGCTGAGATGCTGTTCTGAGCGTGGAGATGAGGTAATGGAGCTCCTGGCGGAGGGAGACAGGTGAGCCAAGGGGCAGAGGTGGGACCGAGACCTTAGGCGACAGTAGGTACTGTCGTGTGTGGCTGGGGCCTGGGGATGTGAGGTACATGGCTGGGAGAGAAGGGCGAAGTTGCCTGCTGCTCTGCTGGAGAGGAGGAAAAGAGAGAGGGCGGGCTCGCCCCTCTTCTATCTCCCTCCTCCACTCACATACCCATTCCAAGTCCTTAGTGTCTGTTCGTCCTCCCTGCAGAGCAAGAACCACCACAGTCCCCGAAAGAGGTGGCCAGTGCCAGACAGTGGCCCTGCTTCCAGCCCTGAGGCGGGAGACACCCCCCTCCATACACACAGCAAGATGGTGCGGTGCCAGTATGGCAAACTTCCCTCAGACGGAGGTGGTCCCGGGGCTGCTGGGAGCACCAAGGAGCGGGGTAGCCTGGTTTTGGTGACCTACCTAGGTCCTAGGAAGGGGCTGCCAAGTCCTGACTTCTGCAGACCCTGGCTTGGCTGGATGTAGACGTGGCCGGTGGCATGTCTAGGCAGAGCTCAACCTCTGCCTGACCGACCCCTGGTGTGTGATTCTGCTGTGCCAGGCACACTCTCTGCCCCCAGCAGAGTGCCACCTATCATGGACCCTTGGGCCCTGTGGCCTGCCATCAGGGACTTCTCTAGAATCCACACCCCGGCAGCCAGGCCTAAACGGGCCGTCCAGTGCCCAGAGCCCTTTCGAGGAATCCCTCTTTCACCTGACTTAGTGGAGGGTGGAAGAGCCAGGAGGAAGCGAGTCCAGATGGGGTAGCACGGGTCAGCCGGGGGCGGCGAGAGGGAGCATCAGAAGGGAATGGAGGCGGAAGACGCTGGCGGCAGGGGGCAGGAGGAGGTGCAGGAGGTCGGAAGGCAGGGAAAACCAGAAAGCTATAGACCCACTCAAAGCGTCTCCATGGGGGAGGAGAGAGGGGAAAGGAAGAAAACAGAGGCGTTCCAGCGTGCCAAAGAGAGGACGAGGACTGTCCACTGTCCTCAACGCCATTTCTGATAAGTCTCCATAGCCAGGTCCCCAGAAGCCTTGCTGTTTCCCGCATCAGGTGGGAGCCCATGAGAGTGGGAGGAACCCCGAGGACCCCTCTTTGGATGAGTATGGCCGTTCTGGGGGAGGGGTGGTTCCTGGGGAGGATGGGTCTCAGCTTCTGGGGAAGGCCAGGCCTAGCATCTGTGCGCCCCGTCCATCCCTGACGCGTTGCAGGAATCCCCAGAGCCCGCCACCGCCCATCCCCGCGACAGAAGGCCTGTCAGCGCCAGTCGGTCATGCCTTTGGGTCACACTCTGCCCCCTCGGGTTTTGAGCGCCCGGCATCTTCGGAGGGCATGGCCTGCGGGAGAAGCGTACCGATAGGGAGCACCAACTGCGGCCCGCCCGCTCCCCACCAGGGTCGCCGAGCTCCGAGGGACGAAACCGATGCGTGGACGCCGCCGAGGCGTGCACGGCGGACGCGCTCTGCCAGCAGCTGCGCACCGAATACGTGGCTCGGTGCCTGGATCGGGCCGCGCCCGGGGGCTGCCCCCGCGCCCGCTGCCGCCGCGCCCTGCGCCGCTTCTTCGCTCGCGGGCCGCCCGCGCTCACCCACGCGCTGCTCTTCTGCCCGTGCGCGGGCCCCGCGTGCGCCGAGCGCCGGCGCCAGACCTTCGTGCCCGCCTGCGCCTTCTCGGGGCCCGGCCTCGCGCCGCCCTCCTGCCTCGCGCCCCTAGACGCCTGCGAGCACAGTCGGGTCTGCAGGTGCGCGCGGGGGTGCGGGTTCGGGGGCCGGGGAGGTGTGGGGAGAGGGAGGGAGGGGGCGGGGCAGAGCCTCCCGCCCGTCCGCTCACCGCCCCCCCGCCCACCGCGCAGGCCCCGCCTCCTGGCCTTCCAGGCCTCCTGCGCGCCTGCCCCTAGCGCCCCCGACGGCTGCCTGCCGGACCAGGCCCCCAGCTGCCGGCGCGCCTATGCAGGCCTCGTGGGTACGCCGGGACGGAATCCGGGTGCGGAGGAGGGTTTTGCTGGGGGTGCTTCCGCCTGGGGGACCGATTACCCTCTCCTCGGGGTCCCCGCAGGCACCGCCATCACTCCCAACTACGTGGACAACGCGAGCGCGCGCGTGGCACCCTGGTGCGACTGCGGAGCCAGCGGAAACCGGCGTGAGGAGTGCGAAGCCTTCCGGGGGCTTTTTACAAGGAACCGCTGCCTGGGTGAGGGGCCCGGGCGGGGCGGCGCGGGAGGCCAGTCCGCACTGACTGCCCCCTCCCAAGCCGCCTGGCTGTAGGAGCCCATTTTAGAGATGAGGAGACTGAGGCTGTTTGCGGCCGTCATGCAGGCCCACTTCCCCCTCTAGCGTCGTCCTACCCCTCGGGAAATCCTCGGGTCCAGCTGTCTCCGGAGACCAGGTCACAGAGCAAAGTAGAACCCCAGGGCTGTCTACGCTCGTGCCCCTGCGGGCGGTAGGGAGGGCAGTTAAAACAAATTTCCGAGGACCTGGAATGGAACAAGGCGAGATTCCTGCTTCAGCTGAGGCATTCCCACCTCCCCCCACTGATGATTTTGCCTTTCAGGTCTGAATAGCTCGGTGGTTCGCTGCCCAGTGGGGGAGTTAGGGGGCCTGAGTTTGAAGCCCGACTATGCCACTTAACTAGCTGAGAGTTAGTTAACTCCTGTAAGCCTTTTTGTGTTCATCTGTAAAATAGGGAAGATAGTTGTCTCCCTCTCCTGTGAGGATGGAAGGCTATAGTTTGTAAGGTACTCTTAGCATAGTTGTCCTTATTTTCTTATTCCTCACCTTGTGCCTCCTGTCCCAGAAGCCCATCCTTGCAGACATTCTATCCTCCCATCCCTGTATGGGGACGGCCCACGCAGGATGCCAGGGGTCTCAGTTTGTCCCCGAGGAGCTGGGCCCTGTGCTAGGATTTCCTAGCCAAGCCCGCCCTGGACCCTTCCCTTCCTAGATAGTGCTATACAGGCCTTTGTCAGCTGGTGGCCCCCAATCCTGCAGGACCAGCTCGACTCCCTCCAGGACCCTGGGCACAGCCTCCTACAGGTAGGTACAGGGATAGGATGGTGAGCTGGCAGCCCCTGCACTGCCTCCTTTCATCCTTCCATGCCAGAGAGGCCCCCATGGAGGCATGAATGGCCTGGGATGGGGGTGGAGGCAGAGAGCAGAGCCAGGCTTCTGCCTCAAGTCCACACTCTGCTCCCACCTCCCCAAGGTGTCCTCTGCAGATGAGCCCCCGGAGGGGAGCTCCCTGTTCTTCATGCTCCCTGTCCTGGCTCTCCAGCCCCTGCTCTGACTGCAACAGCAGACCTCGGACAATACAGACAGCTGCCCCACCCTGCCTGGTACTGGGCCACGTCCATGGCCTACTGCCCCACTGAAAGGGGACTGGCTTCCCTCCCAAGCCAGCCCAGTGCTCCCACGCCACTGCCTTTGCAGTTCTGCATACCCTGTGTGCCTCTCCCCTGGCGCGAGGGATGTCGGCTGAGGGCCTGACTGCAAAGCCCATGGTTTCCCTTCCAGAGGTTTTTTGGTTGGAGGTCCCTTTCTCCACAGACTTTGGAACCGTTCGTTGGGGTCTCCCACAGGGCAGGCATGGGAGGGGGTCACCTGTGTAGCTGAGGTCTCACTGGGGCCCCAGATCACCTGGAGGAGGTCAGAGACCATCCAAACTCCCAGAATTCTAGGAAATTTTATCAGCCCCCCAAGCAGATCATGCTCTAAGGAGTGCATCTGAACACTTATGGGCACAACTCCCTCTACCACTGCAGGCTTTCACGGCACCCTCCCAGCTCGCCACTGCCCATCGTGATAGCCACCTATGCCCCATGACTCACGTTGGGAAATGCTTCCTGTCCATGATATGCTGCTTGGTGGGCACCACCAGGAGTGAGAATCAAGTCTCCTGCATTGCACTCACCATATGGCTGTCTTCCCCGTGGTTTAACCAGCACTAGGAATGGCATCCACAGCTCAATAAACCCACATGCACTGAGACTGACCTTGCTTTCCTGTGATCTATGTCTTGGGAGCCTGTGTGACCTCAGATGGCCTCAGAACCTCTCTGGGCTTTATCTCCTCACCTATGGATGCCAAACTGAAACAACTATCAGGTCCTAGTGGCAGGGATTTTGGTTGCTTTTGTCTATTCCTGCTTCCCTGCTGGTACTCAGATAAAGAAACTACATTTCCCAGCTTCCCTTGCAGCTAGGGGGTGGTCATGTGACAGTCCTGACCAATGAGTGGAATTCACAAATGAGGCCTCCAGGAGAGCTCTTTAAACAGGAGACTTGTTGACGGGTCCCTTCAGCTTTTAGCCTCAACCCTCCTGTTTTTGCCTGGAACTTGGTGGCAGTGCCTGGGGGCACGAGTGCCATCTTGAAAATGGAGCCACTGCGCCAGCCCCTTTTGGACTCTGCATTATGTGAGAAAAATGATACCTCTAACTTGTTTAAGCCAGTTTTTCCACAGGTGGCTTTTGATTGCAGCCAAACATAAGCCCTGATTGATACGCTCCCACCTCTGGGGTGCCTGGGAGCCCTGGGATCACCTGGTACTCGGGGGCCACACCTCAGTGCTCGCAGAGCCTGGCCCTGACAGACATTTGAAAGGAGGGGTGATAGTGGTTTTGTTTTTTTATTCCTGTATATTCTACCTATTTCTGTCCATGTGAACTGAATTCTTTCCTGGAGTCAAGGGAAATTCATCATAAAGGTTTTTACAAACACTCAGTGTACGTGTGTGGCCAGCGTGGACCCAGCGAATGCCAAGGACACTGCATTAAATTGCAGTTCTGCAAAGGAACTTGAAGAGGAGAGGGCAGGATGATAGCCAGGTACTAAGCCTTCTGTCCACTTCTTTCTTCCTCAGAAGCTTGGAGACTCCTGATGAGTGAAGGGCTACCATGTCTCCAGGCTGTTCCTTCTCAAATCTGGTTGAGGTTTAGCAGGGGCCATGAAACAGGCTGAAGTGGAGGCTGTTGGTGCCTTGCTCTCTGGGCCAGTGCAACCCATCCCCAAGCTGCTGGGAATGTTGGTGGCTAACACAGCTCACAGTGGCCCCCTTCTCTAGAAGAAATGTCTGTAAGGTTACACTCTGCTCCCTGAGGCAGACGGCAGCCAATGACTGAAGCAGGGGTACAAAGGCCTGGTCTGCTTGCCTAAGGGGGACAATTCTATGTGCCATTCATGCTCTAGAGCTCCCCCAGATCCCAGCTGAGACAGCATCCTAGCTCAGCTCCTTCTCCTGCCCCCTCCGGGCTTCCTCACTCAGTTTCCCCTGGGGCCTCTCCCTCCATTAAAGCATGGCCTGAGAATCCCTGTTTTGGGCTCAGCTTCTGCAGTACCTGACCTAAGAAACGGGTTAGGTACAGACCACACCAAAGCTCAGGCCTGGGGCTGTCGTGACCAGAAAAAGAGCCACCAGGGGGCCGGCCAGGTGGTGCAGCAGTTGAGTTTGCACATTGTGCTTCTTGGTGGACCGGGGTCGCCGGTTTGGATCCTGGATGCGGACATGGCACCGCTTGTCAAGCCATGCTGTGGTAGGCGTCCCACATATAAAGTAGAGGAAGATGGGCACGGATGTTAGCTCAGGGCCAGTCTTCCTCAGCAAAAAGAGGAGGATTGGCAGCAGATGTTAGCTCAGGGCTAATCTTCCTCAAAAAAAAAAAAAAAAAGAGCCACTGGCTCTGAGACTGTGTACTTAGCAATTCATACCAAACCCACAGACACTGCATGCAGCTGCTGCCAACCAGCCTCCTGATTGGAACCAAACACAAATCAAACTGGCTTGAGCATTTAACTGAGCAATCTGGGTTTCAGGCACAGCTTTCTCCAGGAGTTCAAATGATGTTGCCTCTGCTAGTCTGCGCATGGCTTCCCTCTGCAGCCACGCAGGCTCTCATGTTGGGGTGGGGGTAAGAATGCCACCAGCAGCCCCAGATGTACCATCTCTCTTTTTAGCAATCTTAGCATAGAAAGGCACCTCTGTTTCCCAGCATTCAAGGCAGGACCCTGCTGGCCTCAGCATGGGTTATAAGCCTCTTCCACTGGCAAAGAGGGGTGTTGGGCAGAGTGAAGCTCAGAGTCCAACCTGTTCTCATTTCATAAGAAGGAATATATATATATTTTTTGAGGAAGATTAGCCCTGAGCTAACTGCTGCCAATCCTCCTCTTTTTGCTGAGGAAGACTGGCCCTGAGCTAACATCCATGCCCATCTTCCTCTACTTTATATATGGGACGCCTGCCACAGCATGGCTTTTGCCAAGTAGTGCCATGTCCACACCCGGGATCCGAACTGGCGAACCCCAGGCTGCCGAGAAGCGGAACGTGCAAACTTAACTGCTGCACCACTGGGCTGGCCCCAGAGGGAATGTTCTCAACCACCTACACCTGCTTGGGAATGGACAGGGGAGACACGGGGGGAGGTGTTGGGGGGGCAGGGAAGTGAACACATCGCCTTGGCCTGCTCATCATGACTGCATGGTGGTCCAAACGCAGAATTAAATGTCTGCTAAATGATTTGCCTTCTATGCAAGTGTGTTAAACTCCACTACTCCATTTTTTACTCAGATAATTAAAGTAAAATATGGGCACATACCGTCCCAAAGACTGGGAAGATAAAAGTGCACAGAACCTAGTTGAAAATAGTGAAACTGTTCCCTGGCAGTCTTCCTCCAGTACTTCTCTCTGACCCCGGCAAGGGCTTAATCAATGGAGCCTCTTGAACATTAGATAATGTGCAGGGGAAAATGAAAGGTCACAGGGCCCCTGGCGCCTGGCTGTTTTTCCCCAGAGTGCACATTCCCATGAAGGAGGCCTGACGCTGTCCAGGGCATGGACCCAGCCAGCTCTGAGGAGAGAAGCCAAGAGGAGGGTGAGGTGGCACGCAAAGGACACTATCTTGCCACCCCTGGCCCAGTCGGCTTTCTGAGGGCTTTGTTGCTATAGTGGGCTGAATGGTGGCCCTAAAGATATGTCCACAACCTAATCTCTGGAAGCTATGAATGTTACCTTATATGTAGGAAAGAGTGAATGTTACCTTATATGGCAACGGATGTGATTAAGGATCTTGAGAGGAGGCACTTATCCTGGATTGTCCCAGTGGGCCCTAAATGCAATCACATGCATCTTCATGAGAGAGAAGCAGAGGGAGATGAGACACAGATGCACAGAGAAGAGGGTGATGTGAAGACACAGGCAGAGATGAGAGGGATGCGGCCACAAGCCAAGGAATGCCAATAGCTGCCAGAAGCTAGAAGAGGCCAGGAATGGATTCTCCCCCAGGGCCTCTGGAGGGAGCGCAGCCTGCCAACACCATGATTTTGGACTTCTGGCCTCCAGAACTGTGAGAATAGATTTGTGTTGTTTTAGGCCACCAAAATCGTTGACTAATTTGTTATAGCAGCCCCAGGAAACTAACAGAGTTGTCTGAGTTTGGTTTCTGTCACTTCTGCCTAAAAAGACCCTGGCTCATACAGGGTGTTAAGTCTGGCCAAATGCCAGAAGGCTTAGTCTAGCTGTGACCCCCATGACCAGGAACGGGTCCCGCCTTGCTTGTCCACACCTGAGTGTCGGCCTGTGTCCTGCCAGGGAGCCTGCTTGCTGTCTCTCACACGCACTCTGGGAGACTGCAGTCCTGGCCCTGGCCTCATCCGTATGACTGGCTCTCTGTTAGCTGCTGTCAACACTGAGCCTCCAGCTGGCAGGTGGCTGGGGGCGAGGCAGAAAGGCAGGTGCTGGAAGTATTGTGGATTTATTGGTGGAAACTTCACGGCTCATGAATGCCCACTCTGGCTTGGAGCCTGCTATCTAGTTGCAAGGTTGATGTGAAAGCCTTGCCTGCCCGCCTCCCTCCCCACACCCTCCCCAATTGAGTCAGGCAGGACCAAACTCACAGAACCCGCTCATTTTTACAGGAAGCGTGGGCATTAGTGGGTGAAACTTCCAGAGAGGCAGGAGGACAGGGGCTATGCAGCGCTTCAGGAGAGGTCCCTCGGCTGGACAGACACTTGCCAGTGAGCCTGGCACTTGTGTGAAAGGAGGCAGACATGGCCCTGCCTTGCTGGGCTGCAGGCCTGGGAAGGCCTGCATTGAAGAATGTCTTGGCAAGCTGTCCTGCCAGGGACACATCACCCTATACCCAAAGGAGCCTCCAGTCCAAGGCAGAGGATACAGAGAAGAAAATTAGGATGAGGACAAACACAAGAAAATAAAATACACACAAAACCTCAGAAATTGAGACTTCAAGGGACCGAGATTAAGCAAATGAGGAGGAAAGGCATCCAAATAGGCCATGACAGCCAGAGCTGATCCCCAACTCCCTGGGCAGCACGTGTCATACCATCATTGGGAACATCGAGTCTAGTCCCCTCCTGGTGCTGGGCACACAGGATGGAAGAGAATTCTTGCCAGGCACGTGACACAGCTAGTAACACAGAGCTGCAGGGTGTCTGTTCAGATGCAACCCACACAGGTGTGTGGGGCTGGAGACTCAGATACCAGGAATGACACTGCTGTTGGTGGCAGAATTTTCCAAAATGATGACCAGCTCTTGGTAAACTTTTGAAGGAAACAAAATTCAGTCTTCCCTTGATTTACACAGTAGTTGCATTTCTGGAAAACTGTTTCTAATAGGGTTGGGTTTCTACACTAAAATAATTAGAAACAGATGTTTTTCATCTACACAAATATCCAGCAAAACGTTTGAAAATGGGGTGGGATGTGTTCCTTGTCAGGTGGGACAGTCCTGCATGTCACAGGATGACCACCTTCAAGCCCACCCACTAAATCACAGTAGCCCCTAGCCCTTCAATGCAATAATCAAAATCGCCCCCACCTATTTCCAAGATGTCCCCAGTCCTGTGCTGGTTGAGAACTGTTGCCCTGCATGACCAGGCCTGCCCCAGCTCCTATCACTGCTATTGAAGTCCACTTTGCTTCAGCCACCCCAGCTGCCTGGCCACTGTTCAGACCCACTGGGCACACCGCTAC